ACTGACTGGTTTCAGTAACTAATGGCCTATTCCCAAAAGGAGAAATCTTAGGCCTTAATTTTAGGGTGAAAGCATTTTGGTCTTACTTCTAAGATGGCTCATTTTGGTCTCACATTAGCTCCAAAGTCAGCTTTATGCTGTGCCTCTTTCTTGGCTGTAGAAGGACCAAATTCGACAATTTAATTGCTCACCTAAAAAGGTGTTTGCCACGTAACCTACACTAGTAGTAGACACCCTAACACTTTACTGAGGTTAGTAGGCTACTGGATTTTTGTTGGATTGATTTTTTTCTGCTCCCTGGCTGGTAAATATCTTAGCAGTACCATTGTTGATACCTGAAGAATGATGTCTATTGGGGACTAAGGGGGTCCAGCAGTCCCCTCCCAGGGTCTGGGAAGAATCTACAACCAGCTGATAATTAATCTTTGATGAAAAGAAATGAATCTATGTACACAAAACTCCTTAGTTCATACACTTTATTATTCTGTGATAGTTCTCTCTACACAGCTTCTATTCTGCTCTCATGTCTAGCTCCTTTCTTGCCTGATTTCTCTCTACATTTATCTGCTGTCCCCTCTAGGTTCTATCTTAATCCCTTCATCTAGTTCTGTCCCTTCTAGGTTCTCATCTATCTAGTTCTTTCCCCTATCAGCTTCTCTCCCGTCTCCTCTCTCATCTGGCTCTTCCTCATCTTGTTCTTCCCCATCTGGCTCTTCCTCATCTTCCATCTCGTTCCTCTAATCCTCTCTTTTAGCCCTTCAATCTAGTTCTTCCCCATCTCAGTTCGTTCCTCTCAAGTTCTTACCCATCTAGTTCTTCCATTCTCTTTTCTCTTCTCTGACCTGTGCCCTGGAAGTCCTGGTATATAAAGGGAGGGTCCAAGCTAAATTGTGTAAAGCTATTACTTAACGTCCACCTCTTCTAGGCGGTGTCTCCTTGTGGAATTTAAGTCAGGAAACTTGCAGGTGGGCTGTTAATCATTGTTAGTCCTCGGAAGCTGGGCACCCACCTGGGTGGTGTTTCCTGTAGTCCTTGAAAGTGGCTAAGGGAGATAATCTGATTCCAGAGAAAGCCTTTCCAAATACCTGGAATGTGTATGTCCAGAGAGTGATCAGTCTACACTGTTAGTCCTTCTTAAGGGAAAGTCAATTGGAAAAACTATGAAGGTACACATGATTTTCATAACAGAATACAGCTGATATATAACAAGCCAAGTAACACCAAAAACTCCTTGGAATTTGGCTTCCTCTAGAGGAATTCCCAGATCCCTCCAGGTAGTGACTTTGCCATAACCAGCTGAGATCTTATGATAGATTCCTGTGGCCTGCAGCAGATGTCCTTTGAGCATAACAACTATGGCCATTTTCATCAGAGTAGACAGGACTCATTGCAAGAGACACTCAGGATGGGAAGCCTGTGTGCATTTCCTCGTAGAAGGCAGGAGTGGAGAGTCTCATCCCTCATCAGAGACCTCAGCCCCTCTAACCTGCATTTACCTGACAGCTGAATGTAGTTCTGACCCAGCTGAAGATAATCTTGTCTCAGAAGGAGCTAGACTAATAAGAGTATAGAGAGTGTAGAAAGTGAAGTGAAGAGAGTGACTCCATCTGTACAGCTATGGGAAATCTTCATCTGTGTTGGTGTGAGCCTTCTCAGTGGGGCAGCCCTTTGGGGCTTACCCATGAACCCTTAAGGATCTCCAGCTCATCGTTTTGCTGTTGGCCGTGGTTAGAGGACTGTAACTTTGATCTGCTATGACACCTTGTCTGGGTAGGTAAACATACCTCTTCCCAGGGAAAGTTCACACAACAGAACTCGTGTTTACTCGGTCCAGTCAGTGTATTGTCAATGAGTGGACCAGTGTGGTCTCTTGTGGAAGGGAAAAGAAGTCCAGTTTGCTGTAAATCAAATTTTAACAGGCTGGAGAGCACATCCCTGAGACGAGTCAGCAAAGGGGTATTGCTGGCCAGGCCAGCTGAAAGCAAACTGCTTTTAGTGGCCCTTATTGGTAACATGGACAAAAAACCCTTGCCAGGCCGTCAGGTGCATCCTGGGTCTCAGTATTCTGCTGCTGTGAAGAGACAACATAAACATGCAGCTCTTATAAAGGAAAGCATTTAATTGGGTCTTGCTTACAGTTTCAGTTCATTTTCTGCAATTTTTTTCTTTCTTTCTTTTTTTTTTTTTTTTTTTTTTTTTTTTTTTTTTTTTTTTTGAGACAGAGGGTTTCTCTGTAGCTTTGCCACTTTCCTGGAACTCACTTTGGAGACCAGGCTGGCCTCGAACTCACAGAGATCCGCCTGGCTCTGCCTCTGCCTCCCGAGTGCTGGGATTAAAGGCGTGCGCCACCACCGCCCGGCTAGCTAAAACCTTTGTTGGTGTTTGTTTCTGTGCTCCTTTTGAGATGGTGTCTCCGTGTATCCCAAACTGGCATCAAGCTCACCATGTAGCTGAGGATGACCTTGAACTTCCATTCATCTTGCTCCCATCTCCAAAGTGCTGGGATTACAGACACGAGCCACCATGCCAAGCTTTTGTGGGGGGTTTTCATTTATCTGTTTTTGTTTGATGTGTAGCCCAGGCTGGCCTGGAACTCTACATTTTCTGCCTCAGTCTCATGTGTGTTGGGATTATGTGCATGAGATGTCTGCCCAGTTGTGGCTAAAACCTTTGGTATGGTTAGAGAGAAATTGCCAACAGGACAATTAGGATGCTAGGCATTATGTTCATTAAGAAAATGTAAAACCAGCCGGGCGGTGGTGGCTCACGCCTTTAATCCCAGCACTCGGGAGGCAGAGCCAGGAGGATCTCTGTGAGTTCGAGGCCAGCCTGGGCTACCAAGTGAGTCCCAGGAAAGGCGCAAAGCTACACAGAGAAACCCTGTCTCGAAAAAACC